CTCTGCAAAGCAGAACTTGCCAATAAGTTTTCAGAGACGTTTCAGTTTTTTTGTGGTCGATTACTGATAGAAGTATCTGGAAAAAAGGCAAATTCAGTATTGAAGTAGATAATGCTAGGTTTCAAGTGTGTTAATAAGGTGCTGCTACATAAATAAAGTCTTGGAAGTTTTCTCTATCATTAGAAAAAAAATCAGCTCTTTTGGTTAGAATACAGTGGAGATATGCAATTTTCTTTTTGGTAGGTGACTTTTGGGACACCCTGTATATTAGATTAGATTAAAGATATTAATAATTATTTTGCAAGAAATTCTTTTCAGATTGAAATCGATATAAAATTAATGTCAGTAAAAATAAGATAAACGAATGAATAAGAGAAAATTGAAGATACTGGTACGCTATAATATTCACATTATATATGCACATCGGTTATGTATATATGTTAATTGTGTACTTGACGTGATTATATTTTAGCAATATTGAATATTTCAAAGTCTGGATTCATTCGAATGCAATAGTTTGTAAAGGATTAATTATTTAATAAAAAAATATATAAAAAATAATCGAAATACTTATTTCAATCGTAGTAGAAAGAAATATGGCTAATACACGCAGATAGTACAGCACACTCCAACTTACGAAACACTTTCTGATGACAATTGATAATCTTCAAGTAGATACATCTTTTCGAAAAAGCCTTATAACTTTTCTTCTTGTTCAAATTTCAAACTATTTCTATTATTCATTTGTTTCCAATAATCTTGTGTATCTTCTTTCTAGGTACAGAGCAGCGTATCTTGATCTTCAGTGTGTCTAACAAGTGAACCAATGTGTTGAAGACGTAGTTGAAGAATTGATTTTGAAAAAACTCAATCTAAATGATTCAGATGGACAGAATCGAGGTACTTGTGTCGTAAATCCATCACAACGGTTAGTAAACGATTCATTGTGTCTGTTTCTCGTTAAATGCAGTGTTCCAACAGGTGCTTCTTCAACAACAATGAACACTTTACCGCAACGATTGGCAAAAAAGAACTACCTACGTTCTATTTGGACAGCGTTCAATGTTGTGAATTATTTGAAGAATTTTGGAATCCTCATCAATAAGATCTACCTCATATGGTAGCTCTTGCCTGAGCATATAATATCTATCCAGCTTCTACTGTTGCAAGTGAATCATTGTTCAGCGTATCAGGAAACGTTCAGCGAAAGCATAGATCAACTCTTGCGTCAGATATATTACGTTATTCTATGATTCTTGCTGATCGCAATGTTCTTGTCAGCCTTAATTACTTTAGCTTATACTGCTATTATGCATCCTTTTTGCGCCGTTTTCATCTTCTTTCTTGCTACGATTATTTCTTGTGATGCTTTATTGTGAACCATTTGTTACGATGTTTCTTGTGATTAGTTGGTTATGATATCATTGAACACTAATAAAGACCTCGAATTTGGTCTCATGTTGGGATGAAAGCCACTCGTTCAAATGTTTATTGTGTTCTCAGATTGCCAAAATTTCCATGCGTGTCAGAAAAAGTTCAGTCAATGAATAATAGTTGAAACAATAAATATAGACTGAAGTGATCAAGCGAAGGCTACGCGAGTTGTGTCTGTGATGCTTCAATTCACTCTCACCCGAGAAATTCAATTGCGTTACTTTTATTAAAATAAACGTGATTAATGATTTTCTTTGTTGTCAGAATAATATGCCTTATAGACTATTATAACAAATAGTGGTGATCCGAGCGGGAGGATGGTTGTTCCTTTCATTAGCTTTTGCACCAGTTACATTGGCAAGGCAATAAAAGCCCTCTCAACAACAAATCAGCATGTAATTATGAAAAAATCTAGAAATTTCATGATGAAGAAGAGTCATGAATGACTTTTATAATTTATTTTTCTCGCGAATAAAATCCTTAACTTTTCATTTCTGAACATAAAATATAAATTCAATTATAGGCGTGTGATTTACTTTCTAACAAGCTTTGAGAACTTCTTAAGCCAATTAATAGTCAAAAATCAATTATATGGCGGATCTTGTCTATTATAAAGCATATTTTTTTATGATATATTTATTGCATCATCAACTAGGACTAATTTGAATCAAGGTATTTATTGAGGATAATGACTATTAAACTTTTTCAAGTAAAAGTAGGAGATTGCATGGGCTGAAGGAGAATTTGTTAATGATGATATTAGAAATCTGTATTGAGAACGCGTAAAACTAAAGTTGATGAATATCAATTTTATTAAAATAGCTCTAAATAGGAACTATTTCTTGATTATTATTGAAATTAGAATATTATTACGGACATATTGGTTCTAAGTAAGTAGTTACAAAAATATATAAGAAAATAAATAAAAATGATGATTTATCATCTAAGTATCTAGAATCATTTCAATGGCTGGCACTATTGGATTTCGTTCATCGTCGAACAAAAATGCATCATAAAGTACATTAATCTTAGTATTTATATTGATATTTGTCAATTTATTTATTTGAGCACGTTTACTTCTAACCGAAACATTTTGATTGATCTGACGTAAATTGTGGGTAGTGTCTCTATAGGCAATTAATGGTAAGAATTCTGCACTCGGTTGTGTCCATACGAAAATATAATAATTATGTTGAAGTCGAAAGGTAATAGAAATAGTTATCCATGTCAATGTTGTTAAATGTCTATCATTTGTCTTGATGATTTTTTTATGGACAAGAAAATCATTGTGATCCAAGATATAAACGGTTAAATCAGAACTGAATAGTGCCACTTTGACTTGTATGGCATTTAATATTAATGGCACAGCTAAATGAAAACGATAGCCATAGGCATAAATTCCTTGAAATTCTTCATATTTTTCTTCACCATACAATTCCGATAGTTTTAGTAATGGACGAATATCAGTACTATTAGTTAAAAATGTTTCTCTTGATATATTACCTAAATTTTCAAGTTCTTGTTGAGTAGTTAATAATTTATTAGGGATAGTAAAATGTTGAAGATCAAAAACGCAGCCATACATTAATTGTTCGCATTGTTCTTGAATTAATTGATTGTAATTAATAACATCATTCTTCATTTTGACTAATTGAAAAAGATCTTCGACGTTTAAAGCTTGTTTTGTAAACAATTCTCTGATTAAAACTGTCTTCAAATTATCTTCAATATTAGTTTTTTGTGTTCGAATAATTTCTTGTTGAATAGCATCATTTTTTACAATTGTACTGATTAAATATTTCTTTCGTTCTTCTAAAAGAGCTTGTAATTGATTTATTGATCGTTCAATATCATTTTTTGTTTTAATATGTGTTTGATAATGAGTATGATAAGCTTCTGTAGTCTTGTTATTTAATTTTTCAAGATTTTCTTTTATTAAATTCAATTGTTTTGCTGATGAATGAAGTTGGTTTTTCGTTTCCTGTGAAATACTATCTAAGGTAACAAATAAATGATGCTTGTGCTTAAATAAAAGACAATCACTACAAACAGTTATTTGACAATGATTACACCAATATTTTTGTTTTTCTTCAATATGTTCTGGACAAAATTCATTGAAGTTTTCATTGATAAGAATATTAATTGAATGAGTTTTAAATTGATTTATGTCATGCTCAAGTTTAAGACATATAGTACAAAAATTTTTTGAACAAGTTTTACAAATAAATTCAGATAAAATTGTTTTACAATGATCACATTTTATTTGTGATGAAGATGAAGATTTGCATTGTGAAGATTTGTAAATACATTCAACAAGATCTTTAGCTATTCGATTAATTGGTAATTGATGAATTCTAGATGGATATATAATTGTATTGTCTCTCATAGGACATTGACCAATTCCTTCTGCACATAAATTTTTAATACATTGATAACAGAAAGTATGCGAACATGGAAGACAACGAGGATCATTGTACAAATCCAAACATATAGCACATATAACGAGATTTTCTACTGTTATATCACTGATTGTAGTAGTTGAAGATGCCATTCTGATATTTTTATCTTTGCTTTCACGTGGATGTAACTTTATTTTATATTTAATTCTTTGTCACATTATAAATATGTAAAGAAAAGGAGTGGGTTTTTCTTTCATGCAATTTATTTATTTTTCTCTTTTATTCTCATCCGACAAGGTTTCCTGTTCGCCAATCAGAGTCCAATAAGATTTCACCATAGTTTTATAAACAAGTTGATGACTATATATTTTAAGACGAGTGTAGTGTCACTGAAGAGATTTTTCTCAATTTTTATGATGAAATCAAATAACATTAACGTGATTGTGTACAACATTTGCTTTAATTTAGTTTTCACGTGAATTATTGCTTCGATTGAGAGGATAGTGTCACGAAGTCACTTATGTCTTGCCTATCTCTAACATAATTATAAACACCATCTGGTAACTATGGTTCAAATAAACCAGTTAGTGACCATGACTCAAACGATTGCGTAAGAGATTATAAAAATCATCTAGTCACTACAAAAGTGAGTTTAATAATAGTTAGAACCGATTGGGTTTTTTTCGATACCGCTACTAGTAACGGTAGGATCGGTCGGTATACGGGCATGGATCATACTTCATTTCTCTGACCCTATAATTATGAAACCAATCCCTCTGCTAGCCATATATACGTGTGAATCACTACAGTGACGACATGGCACTTCTTGTTTAGTATTGATTATTATATATTTTCGTAACTTTTCTGTTTGTCTTGATATGTATTGCTGAACAGAAAATTTCATTGGACTACAAATTCTATATATCAGCTTTCCACGTTCATTAAAAGTTCACAGAAATAGTCTTCAGCATCGGTAAAAGTATTTGAATTGCAGGAAAAAAACACACGGATTCGTAAGGAAAAAATTGTGCTTACTGGCCGGTACGGAATTCTCTACTGGATCGGTCGTTTGTCGTTAGCTGTGATAATTCTGATGTGGGTAACCAAAAATCTTATTAATTGAATTCAATCATTTGTTATTTTAAGTCGGAAAAATCAATTTCCCTAATTTGACTTACACTGTTGAGATACACTCAAGAAAATGTATCTTAAATATCAAACTTTTCAAGAAAGCTTGGCTGTATTTGAAATTGACAAAATAATACGAAAGAATTTGACATCTTTTTTGCGGCAACACTTTTGCATTTCATGTTATTCACTAGACCATGATAAGTGAAGAAGTCAGTGGGTATACTTATCATGAGTGTGACTATCTAAGTGTAATTAAATGTTGTTTTATTCAATTATGCCAAATATTCATATATAAAAGTAAAATAGTTATGAAAAAAATTAATGTTAAAGGGTGTCCCAAAAGTCTCGATTCCTCTCAGTAAATCGATGATATCTACAACAAATGTCGATGAAGTTATTGATCAAATTATGTCATTTTGTAGAGAAAGATTAAAGCTATATTCTGAAAAAAAAAATATAGTTCGAAATACATAAGTCTATAACAAAGTTATGGTCATTTTACTAATCGTGAGTGAAAATTTTTAAGCTGCATTTTTTGAAAAAACAAAAAACATCTCGAACGTTTGAGTCGTTAAAGTGAAACGAAATATTATTCTCTACATATTTTTAATAGATATTTTTATATGGTTCGATAGAGTTTGACAAACTCTGCAAGAATATGAATATCAAGAAAAATTTGAATCCTGTTTTCAATATAAAACTCAGAAGAAACTACGCAGATTAACGAAAATCTCGCATATGTTGCATGAGATAGTATGCTTAACTTTCAATAACTGTATTTGATCGATTGTTAATTGATGTTTCGAGACGCAGCGTCATAAGCTGAAGCTAAAAAAATACTTTCAAGCTACATGATGTTTATTAGTCTTTCTGATTTCCTTCAAGTTTCATATTGGAAACAAGATCAGAACTTCTTTAAACATTCATCTTCTCTTAAAACTTGTCAAACTCTATCGAACTATGTAAAAATATCTAGAAAACAATATGCCGCTTCGAATGTTACAAGCATATATTTTTTCTCAAAAAATGTGACGTAAAAATTTTTACTCACGATTAGTAAAAGGACCATAACATTGTTATAGATTCAAGTATTTCGAACCATATTTTTTTCAGAATATAGCTTTAATCTTTCTCTACAAAATGGCATAATTTGATCAATAACTTCATTAACGTTTGTTGTAGATATCATCGATTTACTTAGAGGAGTCAAAACTTTTGGGACATCCTTTATAAATTAAGAATTGATTATAGACTGATTCATAATTGTCTTTTGCTGTTTAATTCATGTTTTAGATGAAACTCCATTATTTCATAAATTTAAAAGTAAAATATTATCACTTATTATCCAGACGAGTCGATAAGCATCATAGAAAATATGAACACGTTTATATTTATACATATTTTTACTTTGTTCGTCAATTCACAATATTTAAATTTTGCTTCATCTTCAATGCCGTAATTAAATATTATCATTTGATTTATTACCTCCATCTGTTTTCTCATCAAATCTGTTAGAATTACATGTCAATTTGGATTAATTCACTGATTGTTGTCTTTATTTACTTGATGGACATTTCAATCAACTTCGTAAACTTTATGTTAATACTTATAAACTTATTCCTTCACGTTTAGTAATCGATAATAAAGTAAATTATTTTATTTAAAATCTAATTTAAACAAATCAATTATATTATTTTCTAGGAAAAAATTTCTAATTTAATATGTTTTGTGATATACTCTGATCTTATTATATATATATATGATGAACTAATTGTACCACTTCTATATCGAATGTTGAATTTAGAAGTATTCACTTTTGATTTGAAAATTTTGGACAGAAAAACATTTGTTGATGGAAACAACTTAATGAATATTATCGATCATATGGTACAATTAAAGAAATTTACATTTAATATTCATTCAACCATTAGTCTTAACAATCAAATTAATTTACCATCCAATTAAAATATTCAAAACTCATCCAAAGATTTTAAACATGATCAAATTATATGCTGTGTTAACTATTTTTTCGAGACAGTAGAAGGTCAATGTTGTATTTATTCATGCCCATATATATCGAAAGAGTACAAGAATGTAACAAATAATTTCCCAGGTGGATTATTTTGAATGTGTTCGTCAAATATCATTATTTGGTGAACATCCGTTTGAACATGAATTTTTTCTTCGAATTGCTTAGTTATTTCCATTGATGGAAAAATTAACATTAGTTAATAAAAAGCACAAAAGAATAAATCAAAATATGACGATCAAGATTTCACAATCGCTAAATATCCTCATCTCAAAGATATTGTTCTATATAAAGCTCATGAAGATTATATTGAACAATTTCTACTTAATACAAGAACATGTTTACAAGATAACGCGATGCTTGTTACTGATCTTTAACTATTAGAAAAAGTTACACACAATGTTCGAAGAGATTCAACAAAGATTAATTGTTCAAAAATAAATTATTTGTATGATAAATATATTATTTGTTCACTTCAAAAACATTTCAATAAGTATTTTTTTCGTACATATGAAATTTAATGATTGTTATTCTCAATTGTTGTTCAAATGAAATTAATTCATTCAAAATGTTTCTTGATACAACCGTTTAAGTTGGTTGTATAACTGTCAAGTTTTTAAGAATGCAAATAAATATGCAATAGATTCGAGTTGTCACGTTATATCAGTCATGCTCTGTAAGGGAGGAGAAATTCATTGAAAATTCTCATTCTATGTTTCAATAGTCCTTTTCAATGTAGACAGTATGACTCACGAGGGAAGGTCCCCAACTGATCAATAGCTTTTGTGTTGAGGCTATGCGTATTATGTAGGTGCAAAAAAGTTATGAATACTCTGAAAAAAGTTCGAGCTGCTAGCTTATTGTTACGGACATACTGCACTTTTACGGTATGTTTTTAAATGAAAGATGTGGTCCCGCTAAGGAACACCAGAAAAAATAATTTTCGAATTTCGA